TATCAAATTTTCATTTTCTTCTTAGGGGCAAGAGATGTCATGTGGAAACTTTTAGGAAGCACCAGGAAAAACAGAAAACAAATAAAAATTCTGAATTTATTTTTACTCCAGCTATGCACTTCCAAGTAGTAATTCCGACCTGTTTGTAGTCCAACTGTTAATTTTTACAGACAGCTTAATTAATAATTCCTAATAGCTGTGGAATCAATATCTTGTATCATTCCTGGTTCCTGCCATTGGCTAAAAATATATTTTGTTTTAGTTGTCTTTCTCTTTGTTGTGTGTTTGTGTATCTGTGCATTTATCTGGATACATTAGGAGGGTTACATTACGTCGTCCATGTTTTGTTGCCAGACAAGATCTCCCACCAGCTAAGAATCCTTGATGGCATGCATCACCACTTTAACCTCTCCAAGCATCATTAATTGCGTAGCCTATGGAACAAAGGTCTCACCTCGGAGATGCAGAGTATTCACTTCAAAATCTTCATTTATGTATCCTAGTATCCAAGCTGTACAAGAAAATGAGGGGCCTCGGAGGCTTGTTGACATCATCCGGTTTGTGCCAGAGCTCTCTAGGAACTACTTTAGAAGCCCTTCTCGAAGGGCATTATTTGGTGGCATATCCTTACTGAGTGGGTTTTATGTAGCACAGACTATCTCTCTCTCATTTGGGGCCCTTGGTGTGAATGATGTAATTGCATCTGTGCTTTGTGTTCTTCTCACAGAGTATGTAACTAGGTTCTATTACAGCAGGCCCAAGGTAACCTTCCCCCTTGCACTCCTAAACAATTTTAAAATGGGTTTCACTTATGGCCTGTTCATAGATGCTTTTAAGCTAGCCAGCTGAACTAGAAAATGTGCTTAACAAATTGTTCTAGTGGCTTTTCTTATATATCAACATCATCAGTTAGACGTTTTTCAACCTTATATATCTGTTTCTGGTACGTTCTATGCAATGTCATTTCACTTTGGTCTATTTTCGGTTTTTGATTTATGTCCATTCAATCTTCTGCCCTTTATACAATCTCTGTCTAATTGGTACTTTAACCTGAACTGTGTCTTGTTGTGTACATGGTCCAAAACATCTAGCACATGGTTTCTCAAGACGTTAATTGAGGGATTTTGACAAATTTGTCAGTGTAATTGAATCCAAATGAGAGATTTCAAGTTCTCTCTCATCTGTTGGTACAAAGAATTTTCTTCCCTTCATAAGTAACATGTTCCCTGTTTTGCCTGATACATGTACTTTTCATGTTGACATAAGAACTAAGGTGGGTCTCACAAAATATGATATTGGAGCATCAATCTTAAATTGTTCTGGTCATCTTGTTTTCAAGCCAAGAATCTTCTTTGTTGGTTTTCTATCCAGGGGCTTAGGACTGGACCATTGACCATCTGAAAATGGAATAATAGTAGGAAACATTTCCTGTTGCAGTCGATTATTTTCAGTGCAAAAGCGATACAGTAGTTACTATGTAATCCCAGATACTGTTGCAGTCTCCCACAGCTCCTTCTTCATGGTGATTATATTTAAAAGTCCTGCATAAGGAAATTTAATGCAAGTTATATTCTTTTGTTTCATTTTTTTTTCTTTTCTGCACACTTCTAGCCAAGGAACGACAACTTAGGTAAGATGTGGAGTTTTTCCTCTAAGTTCTGAGATGAGTGGATTGAATAATCCACCAAACAAATAAAATTTAGGTTACTTTTCTTCTTCTTGCTTAAATTATAAACAAGATCCAAGGAAGAGCAAAGGAGGGATCTGATAACAGATCGAATTGGCCTGGCCTACAAGGCCAAAAGTTGACAGGCTAATGCAGCTATGGCAGAAGATATTGACAGTAGTGCAACTCACCTTCCCCAATATCATAAGGCAAGAAGGGATTCTCCTCATCTATCCGTTGCATGTATGTGTATATCAAAAACTCTTTCATGTATGCGTATATCCCCTCATGTACATCTCTTTCTCGTTCTAATATAAACATTTTCCCAAAAAAAAAAAAAAGAATTCTTCTATGTGTGTGTTCCTTTTTTTTCTTTTCTCTTCCTTCCTTTTATTAGGGCTTGTTTTGGTGGAATCAGAACGACTGGATTTATTTTTTAATTTGAATTTGAATGCATGTAATCTTAGGTGGTGTTTGATTCGTGGTTCTTATATGGTTCCAGAACCATATCAATCTCTCTTTGACATTTTTTAACCATACAATGCAAAAGAGGTTTTGCTCTGAACCATGATTTTTGTGCATACTTTCACTATTTACTTTTCATCATACAGTCATTATCAAATTGAGACATTATGGTTGGAGCCATATTGGTGTGTGAGAAACACCATATAGCTGCCATCACAATAAAATTGACATTTTTTTTTAACCCTACAATGCAAAAGGCTGTTCGTTGATGGTTCACCATGATATGTGAGCATTGATTGTATTATTCATGTAAGGGTATATTGCTGAAACCTCCCTTAAAGTTTATATGACAGTTGTTGAAATACCTTAAACTTTGCTAATAGCAGTCAACTCCGCTACATACTGTATTAGTGGCATCTACAAAATGATAGGAGAAAATGTTGATGTCATTCTGTCAACTTTTTTAAATGYCAAGATTTTCCTTAATTAGACAAATTCGGTTTAGTTGAACAGTGAAAGGTGTGGGCCCTATGTATTTTATTATTGGCGTGAAACCCATTGGTAACACAGTTCACTGAACAGTCATAGGGATGGCCACCAGTCAAGCTTCTCCCGAGCTATTCGAGCTCGGCTAGTTTAGTATAATAAATAAATAATTTTTTGTTATATACATACATATACATATAAATATATATAATAAATAATTTTTATTATATAAATAATATTTGTATTTTTTATGTATGATGGTGAATAATTTTTATAATTCTTAATTTTTTGTATGTAAAATAAAATATATATATTTTTATATGTATATTTTTTATTAAAAAAAACTTGGCTTGTAGTCAAGTTCGAGCCTAACACAGTTTCAACAAGCCGAGCTCAAATAGCCAAGTATTTCAGCTCAGCTCGGCTCGAATCCACCCCTAAATAGCCATCACATTCAACTAATCTTTGCTCTAATAAGACCATTTTCTTCAAAGTCATTGCAAGTCAACAAGTCCAATGAGTAGGCATTAAATGGAACTACTTGTGATTGGGACCAAGGCATTAAGGTGCACTAAGGTTTTTCTTAATCCTTGGCTCCAAAGTTGGTTGGCTATAGTCGTAACCCATGGACAGGGCATTTTTTAGGCAAATGCTAGCAGTCACAGGGCATTTTTTAGGCAAATGCTAGCAGTCACAGGGCATTTTTTAGGCAAATGCTAGCATGGGAAAACATTAAACATATGTTAATGATAATGAGTTGGGGCCATACAACTCCCTTCAATGTTCAAAATATCGGCGTATCGGACAATATCGATACTGAATTTTTTACTTTTTTTATTTTTTTTCAAAACCGGTTCAGGGGGGCGGTTTAAGGCTCCTCCATCCCCTGAACCGGTCAGAACCCTGATACACCCATTATAGGGGCGTATCGGGAAGGTCCCGAAACGGTACATATTGATCGATATGAGCCGATACATGTTGATACTTTGAACCTTGCTCCCTTGTATTGACATACATGCTGTTTTATGACCTTAAATCCCACTTGATGACTTCAGTTCCCATGAAAATGAGAAGCTGAGATGTTCTTATACCCTACGTTTCTCACATGCTAGTATAACCCCTTTTTTAAGCCCCACTAAAATAGTTTGATTTCCCGGGTGACCACCATAGATTATACAAAACAAAAACTTGGCCCAACACCTTATCTTGTCTCGATAAAATAAACATATTTCTAAATCCAATGGCAACAGAAGTAAATGATTAATAAGCATATTTCTAGAATTGTATCTCTAAATTCTTTTACACTAAATAGAAACTAAAGTAAGTGATTAGTTTTACTGTTTTGCAAAAACCACCAGGAATCAGGATCAACATGGACATGAATACCACAATAAAGCCAGAGCTCTCCGATAAGTTTTGATTATGAACAGGGATCAATCCTACTTTGATTTGATTATGAAAACTTAAAACAATATTTTGATGAGAAAGTTATATACCACTTGACTAGGTTAAGCCGTTAAAGAAGAAAATACTTGTATGGAGTAGAACAGTCATTTCATTGTATAAATGTGGAATGAGTCTATAATAAAGTATTTAGCCCTGCTGTAGTGTCGCAGAGAACTTGACAGTTCTCCACTGTAGGGTGAGCATTCAGTTTATTCAGTTTTAATTGAATAAAAAAATAATTTAAAAAATAAATAAAAAATGAAAATTGAATTGAARCTAAATTATAGAAAAAATAAAATTTTCAATTTGGTTTTTGATTATTTTGATTAACCGAATTTCAAATTCTGAAAATCAAAACCGAAATTTCCAAAAAGCTGAATTAATCAACAACCGAAAAAACCAAAACTGAAAATTTCAGTTCAAATTTTTGTTTTTACCGAACAATGCTCATTATCCTTTTTCATATATGGATGAGTACAGAAGCCAGATTCCCTCCCCACAAAACCCAACCATGTACCTAAAAGCATTGGCATCCACTCTCACATTGGGAGTAGGATGGATCTCGTGAATTATGACCCACCCCATTACATCTTCTGACATGGCATCATTGATGAATGTAATTCAATTCAACCTCTCAAACCATCAAAACGTTGATTGGTCAAAACCCATATAACCCGAAAAATTAAAACCATTAAACCATTTTACCTGATCTTTGGGTTTATGGTTCATACTTTAAATGTTTAAAATTTATCTCATCAACCATTCCATCAGATAGTCTAAAAAGTTGAGAGAGAGGTTTCTTCTTCATCTTCTTTTTCTCTCAATCAATGCCATCGCTGCCACCATCACCACTAGGGGTTGCAATTGGGTGGGGGTTGGCTTTGAATCGAACTTCAATACAGTTCAACTCAATCCGTCTAACATGTCAACCCATTAATGGCATGCTTAGAAAAAGCAAACGGGCTGGATTGAATCCAAGCCCACCTTGCCCAACCCAACCCAACTCATTCAACTTAGTGCATTCAATCTGTCATTGACCTAATTGGTTGAACCATTCAAATCAATACTAACCACGATTTTGGGTCCAGCCCTACTAAAACCTAGAGTTTTTGTCAAAAAAAAATTGTTGACTAGGTCAAAAACTGTCTAATCCGACCAGTCGAACCATTGACATATTCATCCTGGTGATCGGATCATGGGTTGTACACTAAATATGTATGCAACTTCTGAAGGTCATAACTTTGTGCTCTGATGTCCAATTGGGTGATATTTTTTTTGTTTTTTGGATTTTGGGTAACTTTCCAGGATCTATGCATCCCAAGGAGTTATATGTGCCTTGCCTCCACTATTTTTGTGGAAAAAAACTTTTAGCCTCAAATTGTAATTTTCAATATTTGTTCAATAAAAATTTAAAAATTGGATTAAAAAATATAAATTAAATATAAAATAATGCATATATTACATGTAGATAAAATATGTATGTATGTATGTATGTATGTATTGTATGTATGTATGTATACTTAAATATATAAAATGTTGGTGTGACACGGCTGACCTGTTTGACCCTGATGGTTGAATTGGTGGCCCATAATTCAAAGGCAAAAACAATTTGGGCCCCTGGGTTGGTTTTAAAACATTGGCTCAACCCATTAACTTTTGTGAAGGTGACATCTTACCCATGACAAACCAAAACTAAATCAAAGTAAAACCCTTGAAATGAACTTCCAAAAGAAGATTGATCAACCATCAAAGTTAGGGTTTTCAAGATCAAGAAATAAATCAAGTGAACAAAGAAAGAGGGGAGGGAGGGAGGCAAGTATCGAACTTGCTCAACAAAAACTTTAAGAAACCTATCAAAATGATGCATTTGAGGAAACAAAAATTCTTTTACAATCCATTTTGTTTGTGCAACTGG